TCCATTATTTTTTTTATTTACGGAGGAAATAATGCCGGGGCATCCTCATTATGTCTTCGCGTGCCCCCTGGACTTCTGTGATCTGACCAAGGTTCATCCCAGAGATCCAGGAACCACTTCCAGCACGTGTCTGGGTTGGTAATGGAGGTGCCGTTGCAGCCCAGTGGCCTAGGAACTGCTATAATAGCGTATATATTGGGTTTACATAGGGATAATGGAAAAGAAAATGGAAACTACTATATTACAGTAGTGTATATATTGGGGTTATATAGGGATAATGGAGAAGAAAATGGAAACTACTAAGGTATCATGCTCGGTTGTTAGGATCCGGATGGACTTAGGAAAGAACAACAAGGAGAAGTCTGATCGCAGTCGCGCGAACTGGTGACCCTGAATCCTAACAACCCCATATGATACTATAGTAGTTTCCATTTTCTTTTCCATTATGCCTATATAACTTTATATAACCCCATATGATACTATGGCAGTTTCCTCATCCAGGAGGGCCTTCAGCGCAGCCGGGGGGCTGCGGGGGCTGATTGTGGGACCGGGAGCAGATGTTATGCTCGGGGTCTGCATCTGGATTTCCGTCTGTGTCAGCCCTGTTGGTGTCCACGAAAAAGAAATCCACCTGATCCGAAAGCTGGTGTGGAGGCATCGTTCATGTTTGAGTCTTTGCTTTAGCCTTTGATTTCGGTGCTGAATGTACCTTCAGTTGAGGTTTGACAGCTGTGGCTGGCTTGGATAGCTTCATTCCGGGGCTCCGTCTTGGCTTGGCTGGGCTTTGTTGCAGTTTCCAGACAACCCGCACCCAAAACACACTATCTGTCTCAAACCCACGAACTTAAACCCCAAAAAGGGGCTACGCAAAAGGGCCAATTGCTTGAAAGGATGAGGCGCGGAAAAGTTTCTGAAGAAGACCTGACGGCTCCAGTACAAGGCAGGCGTTAGCCAGCGGCTTTTTGGCTGGCCCTGCTGGCCCCAGGTGTAGAAGATATTCCTGAGTTGCTGGCTGGTTTAGGGTTTAGGGTCTAGGGTCTGTTCAGGAACTTAAACTAAGTTACCATAGTGGGTACATAGGGTTTAGGGTTTAGGAGTATTTCTGGACTGCCGTTAAGGAACTTGAATTAAGTTACCCTCAGGGGTAATGGAAAATAAAACGGAAACTACTATTTAGGGTTTAGGTTTTAGGCTTTGGTTAAGGAACTTAAATTAAGTTACCATAATGGGTATATATATGTACATATGGTGATTAGGAAGGTTTCCCCAATATAGTAACTGAAATTAAGTTCTTTAACAACAACCCAGTTTCTGGTCCCAGTGAACATTGTAGTGATAACCCCCATAGTCGTGGTTCCCAAGGACACCCCACCACTCCACGCCATCCAGGCCCGGACCCTGAGGGAGCATCATGCATTTCAAAAAAGAACGAGACAGCGCCTCGCTTTGGAAGCTTCTGGGTTCCGCCTTGTAGATCTTCTCAAAGATGTTGCTGAAGATGATGCTGCCAGCCTTACTGTTGGCTTAGTCAAAACTTCTACGGTGCTTTCAGTGAGCTGTATGAGCCCAAGACCGCGTCGGTCCCGTGGGTCTCCGCGTTGCAGGTTCCAGGACTGCTGATGCCTCCCGGGTAGAAGTTGTCACCTCAGCTTGTGGGGTTGTGGGCCGTCCCCCTCAATAACCCTCAACCCTAAACTCTAAACCCTAAAAACTCTAAACCCTAAACCCTAAAAACTCTAAACCCTAAACTCTANNCAACCCCCCCCCCCCCTTCACCCTCTTCTGTCCCAGTGGCCCACATTCACGATGAACTTGGGCAGCGAGTCTTTGGCAATGTCAGCCATCTTGTTGGCTACAAAGCCTCTCTGCCCCAAGAGCCAGGGCTAAAAAAGGTTTAAACTTTAGTATAGGGACCCAAAAAGGAAGCCCA